CACACACACACACACACACACACACACACACACACACACACACACACCCCGCCTTAAATCTCTCTAGGGACCGACCGGCTTCCCGGGAAAGGCTAGGGCTGCTGTAGATGGCTGTGTGGGGAGCTGTCTGAGGAAGTCGAACGCTTGGCAACATTTGCTAGAGGCTCTGCTCGGCGCGGCCGAGAGCCCCGGGGTGACGCTGGAGCAGCGAGAAGCAGCGGGGCCGCTACCTGCCTCCCAGCTGCGGGGAAGCAAGCGGGTGCGCGCTCCGCGGCCCGAGACCCGGTCCAAGCCGCTGCGGTTCCGGGGGGCCGGGACGAGAGAACCTCCAAGCCCGTGCCTGGAAAGCAGGACTTGTAGGCAGGGGAAAGAGGGAAGGAGCTAGGGGAGAGCGTGAGGTTTCGGGTCAAGAGAGGCGGAGAAAAGCGAGGACTTCGGGGACAGAGACCCGGGATCAGCGTGGAGACCACGTGTGATTCCCGGAGCACCGAGCCTGCCGGGTGGAAGGAGGGAGGGTTGGGCAAAAGGGCAGGGAAAAGAAAATCGCTGCAAGGCAAAGAAGGACTGAGGAAATTCAGGCGAGCCCCAAATAGAGGTGGGATTCAGGCGCTGATTGCCAAACAGATTTGAAACCCAGGGTGGGCGCTGCGCCCTGTGTCCCACACCTGTGGCTTTGTCGGGGGTAAAGGCGCAGCCGCCAGGCTGGACCAGGGCTCCGAGACGCGCTCGGGGACCCAGCTCCCCAAAATTGTTCAGGGAGAGAACCGTGCCAGACAGGGTTGTGATTAGACGGATAAAAGGAGGTGCTGGGAGATGCGGAGGGAGGGTGATCTCCGCGTACGGCTGGGATTTTGGAGAGCTGCGCGCTGGCTCGGGTGTCCTGCGGGGGAGGGAAGAGAGCGGGAAAGGACCGAGGGACCAGCCGGAGGCTGCCGAGGGACCGACGGCTTCCCGGGATACTGAAGGGCAGGGTGGAGTTTTGGGAGAACGGGGTTGGCGTCTGAGTGGAAAGGTCGGAGCAAAACCCAGCCCCCAACGCAGAGCCGCAGAAAAGCTGAGAGATGGGGAGACTGGCCCCCTCGGCTGGCTGGTCCCGCCAGGACTAGAGCGCGCCGGACACTCACCCACCGCCCAGTGGTTGCCGCGCGGGTACATCTTGGCCAGCAGGGTCCCTCCGCCCGCCGACACCGGGGCGGCCGGTCCCCGGGGCGCCTGGCAGAGGACCAGAGCCAGCAGGACGAGCGGGAATTCGCGGCCGCGCATGGTCCCGGCGGGAAGCCCTCGGAGCGCCGCGGCGAGACTGGGCGGAGAGTGCGCTTCCACTGCAGAGGAGAGACGGGAGGACCGGGACCTCAGAGGAGCGCCGCCGCCGCCGCCGCCAGCGCCGCTGCTGCAGCCTCCACGACGCCCCGACTTTATATGCAAGCCCGGGCGGGGGCGCAGGGGGATCCTCCACCGCCGACCCCAGCGCTCTGACGTCTCCCTGGAGCGAGCCGGAGCGCTGGGACAACAGTCTCCGAAAATCATCCATCTTCCTGCCGAGCGATGAACAGGCTGAGCGTACATTGTCCCCTCTCTCTCTCCCTCGTAGCCCCGTCCGCCTTCCCCAGCCTGGGTTAGTTCTTCCTATCCTCGACGCCTTCGCTCCAGCACAATTTAGGGAACTCCTCCCTCCCCAGCCTCACCGGGGCGCCTCCCGCGTTAGCTGCCTTCGGATCCTTCGAGGAGGAGCAGTGACCCCGCGGCCTGACCCCAGGGGCGAGGGGCGCAGCTGGGGTGGGGGAGATAGAGAGGGATGTGCGCCAAGGATGGATGTTTTTAGGCTGGGCTTTGCTAGAGGGGACCGGAGCCCGGAATGCAAAGCACCTCTGATTCTCAGACTTTCCCCCTTTGTGGACCACCTCCCTCCTCGCGGTCCCTGCCCATGAACCTTGCGACCTTTGCTCCCTCCCACAGAGCGCCGCCGCTTCACCGCCGCAAGACCCTCACCCCACCTGGGGTTTCGGAGGCGTCCCTGCCCGCTTGTAGGGTGCGATGGAGGCTGGAGCAGGAAAGACATGTAACGTGATCGGAGCTACAATACTAACAATAGTTTTACTATACTCCTGGTTCCCTGCACCAGCATACGGCATCCACATAACAGAAGAAGCTTCTGCGGCGATTTCCCTAGGCCGCCTCTACCAGAAAGCTCAAACTGTCCCTAAGCTGCCATTTACACACTTCTCTAGAGCTGCCCAAACTTCCCCTTCTCCTTCTGTTCTCAGATACGAGGAATGGTCACCGGCCCAACTCCCGAGGCTGTCAATGCCATGGATACAAAGGGGGTGGGCACCATAGCAATGCAACAGTGAATAGAAGCGGGTAGGATGCGGTTGCCCACGATTCGGCTGTCAGAGCCGGGGGTGTGTTGGTGTGTTCCCGCGTGCCAGTTCCTCACCGAGTGCTGGTGAATTGCCTCGCTGGTTGGTTCCCGCTGGTGTTCCATGTCAATACTGGGCGTTGATACCAGTTAGGTTGAAATCATACATCTTTCGGGATATCTGGTGATTCAATACCTCTGGTGATTCAATACATCTGTGCCGTTCTTAGAGGATATGTGCCTATTGCATGACTGAGCATCCTTGGGCTTGGAAGAGTATTTCCATGCATGTGTCTGGCTAGAAGGTTAAATGCTAATTTCAAGATCACTATTATTAGCCAAGCAATAGAGTAATACTATCCTGAGGGAATACCCCAAGTGAAAAGCAAGGGGGAAAAAAGCCTACAATGGGCTTGGACTCCATCCTTCTGGGTTCCCAGGCTCTGCTCATTAGTAAGCACATGTTCCACAGTCAGGTGATCATACGTAGGCTTCCCACTTCCCACTTGGCCATGAGCTTGCAGGAGCATAGGGACTCGGTCTTGTTCCCCTGTGTGTCTGCAAGGAGCCTGGATCACAGTGGTGTTCAACGATTTGATGAATGAACAACTAACCTAAGAAATGCTTGGGTCTAAATAGCTTTTGCAACCTTGGGCCTTTGGAAAACCTTTATCTCTCCAGACTAAGTTATAGAAAAATGTCCTTTCCCCTTAGTTTAATCAAGATTATTTTAGAATCTTTTAATGACGTTTTTCCCACTATGAGACCAAGGGAAAACTACTGTAAATACAATGAAGTGTGGGAACAGCTCTACAGAAAGTGCAACTCTTCTGCAAATTCAGGCAACACACTCTGGGGTCTATAGCAGACCAGGAGCTACCCAGGTTCCTCCATTCACTTCAGCTCTTGCTCTAAGCACCCTAGTCCACAGGCTTTCTGCAGCCGGTCTCGGGCTTAGACGTGTCATTTGCTTTGGCATCCCACAAGGGCAGAGAGTGTGTCAGTCTTTGCTCAGGGCTGAATCCACAGTGTCTGACCCAGTCCAAGGTACAGAACAGGGACTCAAGAGATGTGAATGCTGCATTGTCCTCCAGGTATAGCAGCCTGAGTCCAGTCCTCTAACCAGAAAAGACAATGGATTGTGACAAGTTAGAGAAAGAAACCATTGCAGGTTTCATTCAGCCAGTACTGAATGAGCCCCAGTAGATCCTGGCTGGGTATCTTTTCATATCGCTTTTAAAATCTTAACCACAGCCCTGCCAGATAGGGATGACTTGTTCCCCTTCTTTGTTATGGCTCAGCGCTCTGTTCCACGTAGATATTCAGGAGCCCAGGTTCATTCCATCCTGTGCCTCTACCCCTCCCTAGCGCTCTGCTCCTCAAAGGGATGTTCCGTAAGGAGATAAGGAGCTTGTGTCAGGATGTAAATCAATGCGTTGCTTCCTTCATCGAGAATATCTTGCTTTGTCAGCTGAACGCTGTGTTTAATGATTTGCATTTAGTGCTGTTGATTTGCATTCTGGCAAAGCTCTTTATCTTGCTGTGGATGGGTTACAAACGGTTCAAGGATGAGCAGCTGATGCATGGGCCACACTTAATTAGCACTAAGTGTACTGTCCCTGCCTGCATGGCCTAGATAGCAGCTGGCACGACAGGGCAAATGGGGAGGCGCGCCACTCTCTTAATATACCAGCCCACACGTACCACTCATCTTTTCTGCTCATATTTTAATCGGTAAAAACTCAGCCACAGGGAGCTGCAAGAGAGGCTGGGAGCTGTAGCCCTGATAATCAGTCAGGCGCCTGGCTCTGACCGCACCGCTGCGGAAGAAGGAGTAAGTGGAGTTTGATGGACGGCTGATAAACAGACAGAACCAGCCTAGGGTGCCTCAGGCACGTGGAGGTCTTACAAATTTTATTTAATAAAGTAAAACCTCCCCTCATGGAGAGGAAAGACTGGGTCTCCGGCCCGTCTCCTCTGCCCCAGAGTTCTACGTCCCTTAGAGAATCTCTTGCTAACTACCATACCAGCACCCCTTAGGCTCAGGGGGGCATTGCACCCTCTTATCACTGTGGCACAAATTAGGGTACCCCTTCATTGGATTCCCCATTTGGGAATGTTTAGTCTAGTCTTTCTATAATAAATGGATCTTAGCCCTTTAGCTATTTCCACAAAAGATCTATGTAGCCAGCAGCCATGATATTTCACTGACATTTTTTGCACCTGTGCGGGGTGGGCTGGGGTCCTGGCCTCCTGTCTTGCACCTCTGCTGGAAACTGCCTCCACCTCTCAGTTCCCCAACTCCTGGTTTCCAGGAGAGAAACACGAGAGACCCAGCTCATTATTGTGAGCCAGCTATACGTGTTCTAGATTGCCCAACAGCTTAAAGGTGAGTGGGTCCACAGTGTCCAATCCACTCTTATAGAGGCTAGGACACATGGTGGCAGATGTGGCAGCGTCCACTCCACAGGGCTCTGGGCAGGACAGTGTTCCCGGAAAAGAAGGTGTGGGTATCATACACAACGGCCCTGCTCCCCAGATCCTCAGGTACATGCTGTCTTGTGCCTGATATTTCATGACGTCTGTTGTTTCTTTTTAGCTCAGTGACTCCCAGACATTGGAAAGGGCATTTTTTTTTAACATCTTTATTGGAGTATAATTGCTTTACAATAATATGTTAGTTTCTGCTTTATAACAAAGTGAATCAGCTATACATATACATATATCCCCATATCTCCTCCCTCTTGTGTCTCCCTCCCACCCTCCCTATCCCACCCCTCTAGGTGGTCAAAAAGCACCGAGCTGATATCCCTGTGCTATGCAGCTGCTTCCCACTAGCTATGTATTTTATATTTGGTAGTGTATATACGTCCAAGTAAGGGCATTTTTTTTATTATTCTCTTCCACGTAGTTAAGGTTTTGATGGACTTTTTACTGTGAAACAAGCCATATTGCTTAGATTTCTCATTTTTACTCATCAAAGACATAGGAACTGTCTGTCCATCAGAATTTCTAATCAGGTTGAAGTCACCAGTATTACCTAGAGAGTAGATGTCATTCCAGCTTAAATCAGTGAAACATTGCATCTTAATTCATCTTTTCAGCTTCATCAGGGGTAAATGTATGGCTTTTTTTTTTTTTTTTTTTTTTTTGCCACACCACGCGACTTAAGGGATTTTAGTTCCCCGACCAGGGATGGAACCCAGGGCCCCGGCAGTGAGAGCACCAAGTCCTAACCACTGGACTGCCAGGAAATTCCCCCAATGTATGGCTTTTTGAAATATTAAAAATAGCACATGCGTCTCTATCTTTGCCCTAAGTGGAGTCTAGGTTAGGAGTCTTAAGGTTTAGGGGGCTGTTTTTGCTGTCACTGGTCATTTATACCTTGGTGCCTATGAAGGCTTTGAGGGCAGGTCTTGCTGCAGTGAGATGCTCCAAGATCCCCAGATCCAGTCCAAAGCCAAGGAAGCAGGCCGTGAAGGCAAATGGAAAGGAACAAGGAGACATTGGCGTCCTGCAAGCACATGGGTTCTAATTCTGCCTCTGCCACTTAGGAGCTACTATGTTACCAGGCCAGTGACTTAGCATCTGCATCTCAGTCTCTTCATCTATAAATTGGTAATATCTCCCTCCCTAGGGTGTGTATCTGTTGACTGACAGCTACTTATTTTTTTAATTAATAATTATGGAGAACTATAATTAGGGCAAGCTAATTTTTTTTTTTTTTTTTGCGGTACGCGGGCCTCTCACTGTTGTGGCCTCTCCCGTTGCGGAGCACAGGCTCCGGTCGCGCAGGCTCAGCAGCCATGGCTCACGGGCCCAGCCGCTCCGCGGCATGTGGGATCCTCCCGGACCGGGGCACGAACCCGTGTCCCCTGCATCGGCAGGCGGACTCTCAACCACTGCACCACCAGGGAAGCCCAGGGCAAGCTAATTTTTATCTTAGGTGTGAGTGTCAAGACGGCATAATTTTCTTGCTCAATATGCCTAACCCCAATGTCACATGCTATTTAGATCTCCCAGAGATAATCACACGAATAACAGCTGCCGCTCAGTGAGCATCTGGCATGGACCCGGCATTGTGCACTTACTCGTGTAACCCTCACAGCTGTCCTATGACATAGATGTTATTTGTCCTGTTTTATAGATGAGGAAACTGAGGCACAGGAGGGTTAACTAACTTTCCCAATGACCCAATGGTAACTGACAGAGTCAAGAGTCAACCTCAGAGCCATCTGATTTTCAAGCTCTGAGTGTGATAAGTCTGGCAAAAATGAGTTTCTTTGTACATACAGGACTTTTCTGGGGGTCGATAAATTTCATCACCCAGAAGGATAAAAGGTATATTAAAATAATTTTAGAGGAGATATTGGGAATAATTTTTAGAGGTAGTTGGGTGAAACCTCATTGCAGATTCCTCCCTTTGCTTGTTTTCAGCTATTCCCCACCCCACGCCCACCCACCTCTAGATCTGTGGACATCATTTTGCAACTTGTACGTGGAAGTGGGTGGAAGTGGTGGGAACATATAAATTTGCTTTCTGGAGAATAACATGCTCATAGTTTGGGCTACAGCAGGGATGGCCAGAGTCCCAAAATGTAGCCCTCAGTGTCTGAAACTGCAAATATATTTCTGATGTCAACATGAACATCCTACTTTGCAATCTTCCTTGAAATCCAGTTATTTCTGGCATTTCACTATTACCTTCCATGGTCTTCTGAGCTCCTGGACAGATTGCAGGGGCGATTACCCTAGACTCCAGCCTTGGGGGCTTCCCTGGTGGTGCAGTGGTTAAGAATCTGCCTGCCAATGCAGGGGACACAGGTTCGAGCCCTGGTCCGGGAAGATCCCACATGACAGAGAGCAACTAAGCCCGAGCGCCACAACTATTGAGCCTGCACTCTAGAGCCCGCGAGCCACAACTACTGAGCCCGCATGCCTAGAGCCCGTGCTCCGCAACAAGAGAAGCCACCGCAATGAGAAGCCTGCGCACCTCAACGAAGAGTAGCCCCCACTTGCCGCAACTAGAGAAAGCCCGCGTGTGGCAAAGACCCAACGCAGCCAAAAATAAATTAAGTAAATAAATTTATTTTAAAAATATTAAATTAGGCTCCAGACTTCCAGTTTATCTACTCCAGGGTTTCTCAGCGCTGTTCAGATTTGGGGCCAGATAGTTCTTTGTTGTGGGGTCTGTCCTGGACATTGTAAGGTATTTAGCAGCACCCCTGGCCTCTACTCAGTAGATGTTAGTAGCATGTCTCAGTGTGACAACCTAAAAGTCTGCAGACATTGCAGCATTTCCTTGGTGGGGGAAAATCACCCCCTGCTGGGGGGCTGACCTAGCCCAGCTTCTCATCCTTAACTCCTTCCTTGCCAGGTGCTCCTGTGCTCTCACTTGAACGTCTCCAGTGCTGGAGAACTCACTTCTCATCTTTGGAGACTACTGATGTTGGAAAACTCTTCCTTAGAGTGAACTTACTTCCTCATAGTGTCTCTCTAGCTTCCCCTCATCGTGTGGATCACGTGGTCCTCTTCTGCCCTGCCCGGTCCTCCTGACAACCCCTCATATTTACAGACCCCATCGTGCCTGCTGCATTCTTCTCTTCGTTCTGTATTGTCAACGCTCACTCAGATGCAACGACTGCACCTCCTCTCCCATCCTGACTGATCTAAACATCCTCCAGTGTTCCCTTTATTTATTTATTACTTTTTTTTTTTTTTTTGCGGTACGCGGGTCTCTCACTGTTGTGGCCTCTCCCGTTGCGGAACACAGGCTCCGGACGCGCAGGCTCAGCGGCCATGGCTCACGGGCCCAGCCGCTCCGCGGCACATGGGATCTTCCCGGACCGGGGCACGAACCCATGTCCCCTGCATCGGCAGGCGGACTCTCAACCACTGCGCCACCAGGGAAGCCCCGTACTACATCTTCTTTACCCATTCATCTTTTGATGGACTTTGAAGTTGCTTCCATATCTTGGCCATTGTAAATAGTGCTACTATGGACATAAGGGTGCATGTATCTTTTTGTGTTCCCTTTAAAGTTGAGAAAGTGAGAGACACGGGTGCTGAGCATTGATCAGAGGATCCAGTGAGCAAGGGGCACTATTTTCCAGAACTTTCCACAGGTATATGCCTATGTCATTTGGCTTCCTGGGGAAATGAAAGCTACTGTACAAGCAGCCGCCTGTGCCAGGTCAAATGTGCCTGGAAGGCTGGAAGGCTTCAGATGTTGCCCCTACCCCTCAGGTAGTAGAGAGTTGAGCACCAAGGCAGCAGGAGGCCGAGGGCAGAGCTGGTGATGGTACAAAGGGCAGGGCAGTTCTGGGCTTGAGCGACTCTGGTTCTTTCTTCTAAGGACCTATCCACAGAGGCTGTGTTCCTCATCCTGCCACTCCCCTGGGATATTTGTAAGGACAAGAATAAAAAAGACCATGAATGTGAACCATTTTATAAACTCTATGTGAAGAGCCAACTGCACACATGTGACATGGGGTTATCTCCAAATCACCGTCCCCCCAGCCTGCCAACTTCTCCGGACCAGAGTCTCTCAACTCCAGGCAGGCCAGGCTGCAACCGAGTTTAGTAGCAAGTTCATAAGGAAAATATTATTCAGGAAAATCTCTGAAATCCCATTAGTTTAATCTGATTTGACTTATCGAATCAACATACATTTGTCTCTCTCTCGTACTCCTCTTGATGGCATCTAGCGCTGTGGCACCCAGGTATTCAGACCAGCACATTCATTACCGCAGAAACGAGGGTGTCTGGTGAGCCATGTACACACATGGAGCCTCCCGGCACAGCCCCCTGGGAACACGGGGGAAGAGGTGGGTCCTGATGGTAGAGCAGTGTCATGGGGCATGAGTGCCCGCTGCCAACAGTGATGACGGTAATAGGTCAGCTCAAATGAACTATCTGGAAGTTGCTTAAGACTACTTATCATAGCACCAATATTATAACAGTAAAAAATACAGGAAATATTTATAACAGTAACTTACAGATACAAACTAATGATAAACTACAGTTTCACAAAGGATTGTATACATTTTGCACACTTGTCAGTTCTTTCTTTTAGGCAAAGTGCTCTTTTGATGACCAATAAATAGCAGATACACACTCGAGTGAACTATTTTCATACAATACGAAGAAGTTTTAATTTGATAAGTTAAATACTCCTTTCTACCAAAATTGGAATTTGAATCCAAGTTTAGTGTTGGTCCTCTTAAAGTTCAAAGTAGTGTGGACAGTTTGGTTGTCATTTAAGACAAAGGAGGGGATACTATATAGGTATCCAAGTACAGGCAAAGAGCAGTGCTCCAGAAGTCGAGAAGCTTAACTGTGCAACCCTCTTGTAGTCAATATTGCTTTGTATCAATATCTCATTTAATGCTTATTAATGAAGAGATGATTTTATTTTTCCCTTTTGCGGGGAGGAAGAGTCTTAGAGAATGTAAGCGCGTGTCCATGGTCAAGGAGCTGGCATTAGAAGGCTGGGAGTGTGGTGCACACAACTCTTCATTGCTAGCCCTTGTGCAGCAACTTGTACTTTGAGAGCCTAGAGCTTTACCTAATTTCACAGCTCTGTCTTACCTGTCTGCTTTAGTCAGGGTTCTCCAGAGAG